TGAGTGTTCCAGTTTCCGCACAGCTCAGCATCCCTGGGAGAATGTTGTCACGCACTTGTAGACCCAAAGATGGGATCTTAAAATAGGTATTAAATAATGATAACTTTTCTGGCTTAAGAGACTTTTTGCTGCCAGCTTGAAAGGTGTAAACAGCTAGAGAATTTCTCAGGGACAGTGACAAGGGTGCTTTGTTAGATTCACTGACCCTCCAGAAGGACTGAATCGCAGAACCTCCCAGAAAAACATTCCTTCAAATCTGAGCTCTGTTTCCTCACCTACGAAATGGGCCTACTGTGGCCCCAATTCACAGTAAATAGAAATGCCTGGCGGGGGGAGGGTGGCTTAGAACCGGAGTGGTGCAAGAAAGGGGTGCACAGGCTCAGTGTGGCGCCCACATCTCCCCCCCACCCCCCAATGCATTACGCACGCCGTCATGTTGGACTCCCAGAAAGCGTCATGGAAACATTCTAATTCAACACTCATTAGTGAGGCAAACTGATCAAGGTAACAGTAGTTATCTTGGTGCCAGGGACAGCCTCTTGCAAATACCATGACCTTTCTGAAAATGGGCCACAGTGTTGAGGAGGGCTCTGATGGGGGCCCACAGGGCGGTGTGGGGGCCTGAACACTTGGGAGGGTATACTACTTGCACGTGTTGAATGGAAGGAACCCTGATGTCTACGGAGAAAAAGAAGAGAGATTCGGAAGGGGATATTTAAAATTAGGCACATGCTACAGAGTAACTCCCCAGCAACCAAAAAAGTGAATGCAGAGTGCAAGGGTATGGGGAGAGACACAAACAGCATTCAAGTGTCAGAAGGGATGTGAACAGAGGTGAGATCCCCAGGAGTTCTCAATACACCCCAAACCAGACGACGAGGGGGTAGGACACTAACAAACCTCCTCCCTGCAGAGGCTGAAGCTCAAGAGAGAGCCCCAGGGGACCTCAGAACAGCATATCTCTCTTTCCGACTTTTATTCTGACCTCCGGGGCAGAGATCAGGCACTTCAAGAATACGCCCAACATGAGGGATTTATTAGCAAACTCCTGTTGCTGATGAGGCTGAGACCAACCTGAGCCTCAGTTTCCTTATCTATAAAATGGGAGCAACCGTACTTCTATCCTATGGTTATTTTGAGGATCTCATTCTAGGATGCACCTAGAATACAGTCTACACTCAATGCGGATCCCTTTCGATACTTCCAAGCTCAGGTGCTGACCCCAGGCGTGCACAGGAGATCAGCAGAGGATCCCACATTCCTGGCAATGCCCAGAGCAGGATGGATGGAGAGAAAAGACACTCCCTCTGCACCCTCCATCTTTCCGAAACACACCTTGACTCCTTCCGCCGTCTCTCTGCCCCATTTTGTCTCTAGGGAACCTGATGCGCTCGCTTTTGTCAGCCACACAGTAGGCACTTGGGACTCAAGGAGGAATTCTCCCCACTCCCTTCCCTGATACATTTATACCCTGAACGATCCAAGGTATTCTTCCTAAGACAAAAATAAAATCAAACGAAAAAGCTTTCAGGAAATAGCCTTTTTTTTTTTTAAAAACATCGCAGTCTGTTTTCTAATCCTTTGGGGGATTCTTTTCCGCCTTTTCTGGAAGCCCACGTCATAAAGCAGGGCTGCAAGGAGGCAGGATCTGGCAAGGGCTGGAGAACCTGGTGGAACCAGATTCAAGCCTCCTGCACACACATGTGGGAGGGCAAGTCTGGTCACCTGTTTAGATGCTCCTGGGTTTCCCAGGTACTGTCTTTGAATGTTCAAAGAATCAAGGGTATCTCCCCTGGAGCACCAACTATATTCTCCAAGGTTACTTACGGGTCTAGGGAAGGATGGGTTGGTTGGTTGGATCGTGGAAATCAGTGTGATATTTATTTCCTGGCAAGAACCTGATTTATCATTTCTACTTTTTACACTCTGTCTGTGTTTGGGTTTTGTGGGCCTTCGGTGGTCTTTTGTGTTAGGGAGCTGAATTTCTAGACCGAGTATGCTGCTGATGAGAAGAGTGTGTTTTCTATCCCCTTTGCATCTCCCAACCCCAAATCGGCCTTAAAAGGAGAGTAGATACTCGGTCAAGTGCTATCAGCTGATCATTGTCCTTTGTTCATCCTTGGCTCACGAGAAATAGAACTCTATCACCTCAATGATCATCACCGGCTTTCATCTTTGGTTTGAGGTTTTAAACTATATCCCTTGTTGGCTCTTCCCAGGAAATAGGTCCCTGAGAAAAGTTTTCTCTTCTCCAGGATTCTGAGGCAGGGAGTGTTGGGGAGCTTAAGGGACAACCAAATCTAAAGAGGGGGTGTATGGGTCTATATAAGGCAAGAGGGAAAGAAAGCAGGGGCCATTCTGTGAGGTTCTCTGGCTCTTATCCCAGAGGGACCCGGAGAAACTTTTGAGAGAAACCTAGAACTGAGTCAGCCTGGGGAAGGGAACCAGGCGAGGAATTAATTGGACCATGCACGAAGGTCTTGGTTTCTAGATACTGTTGATCCGATGATTCCATACAGATTATGCCCCTTCAGGAGCTCAATCTCTTAATTTTCTCATCTCCATTCCTCCAAATCTTGGCATAGCTCTAGAGGTTCTATTTTTCTAAGACCCTTCTGGGCAGGCACCTTTAGCTGATGCTCTATCAAGAGTACTTTTGGGCGCAGAGCAAGTGGGGATAGGGAAGAGGATAAGGAATTTAAACAGGAAATCTGCCCTTCGGTGGGTTCACAGAAATCGCCCGCATGTCCCTATCAGCATCGTCTTCAGAAGTTAATGTGAGAGGAACATGTATCATACCCCGAACCCCAGATAGCTTTTCTGAAAGGAGGCCAAGAACACCAGCACCCAAATCCCACTTGGGCCCTGCCATCCTCCCTAGAACATAATTTTTTTAAAAAATAAAAACAGTAGCGTCCTCTCTTCCTAAATGTCAGCCCATCGATAACCAGAATGGGTTTCCCACGTTAATAACCATCACCACGACTTAATTTTTAACATAAACTTTACATTATATACAGTTGTATTTGGATGGCACACTTGCCGTGTGTGGTAGAAATCAAGCATGTATATAGAGTATGTACACGTGTTCACGAGCATTGGTATTGGCAGGAGGAGGGCCTTTTCTCTCCTCCGATGTGTATCAGGTGGCCAACTGCCCTCATCTGCTATGACTCGATGCGAACACAGTACGATGTGAAGGGGTGAGATGGAGAAGCACACCCGCGTGTTGGTGTAGACCCCACCGAACCTCTCACCCAGCACTTCCGACCCTGCTGACCAAAAGAATGCAGGGCATCCGTAAGGTCTAATTTTGTCTCAAGTGAAAATACTGCTTTTGCACTGAAAAGCACTGTCACGTGGAATCCTTAACTCCTATTAAACACCAACCCAATGAGTTGCGTTTCCACGGACTCGGTCCCCCCGCCACCCCCATCGAACTCCAATTCCATCCACTCCAGCCGCAGTTCATACAGACGGGTTCTGCTTCAGAAACAACTCCTGTCCCCTTTGCAAGGATTCACATGCGACATCTATGCACAAGCAAACAGGACAGGGATGCGCCTGAAGTTAACACATCTGTTCAGCCCTTCTGAAAGATATTTGGGTTTCTCCAATTCGTGTTTATTTAGGTCTTACACCGTATGGGATTTCAGTGCAAGGTATTTATTTATATGACAACTGATTATTAGAGCTGCACTTTTTAGGTTTAAAGGAGATAAATTTTTAATCACCATTTAATTAACACCAACTCCCCCCCCCCTTTTCATTAGCATTTGCAAAGAATTCAGGGCATTTGTCATTTCCTGAGAAGGACGCAGAATATTAAATACACATCAGTGGCAGGCATATCAAATAGAATAAACAATGTGGGGCTATATAGCTGCTAGGGATCTTTTGACTAATTAACTGCCTTGGCCAGAGTCCCATTTAAGTGAAACTATTTCGTTTGTAAACAAGGTGTAATTTTCTTGTTTCTCCCTTGAAAATAAGTGTGAGTCAAATGTGACTGATTTTGCTGCAGTGGGTGCATTTTAATGGTCTCCTCAGAGCAGCTGAGTATGAAAAGTTCTCAGGCTCTCTGCAACAGGGGAGAGAAACCAGGTATAATCCCCAAGAGCCCCATCACGGTGCTGGCTGCCATTACGGAGTGAAATTGCAAAGGACGGAAGAGTGGGGAGATCATAATTCTGTACCTCTGGAGGGAGCCTTGCTGGCAGAAAAACAGACCCGTTAGGGAGCTGTCTTCTGGGAGCACTGAAGCCAGAAGTAGTCTGAAACCTGCAGGTGGAAGGACCAGGTAGACTATGTTCTAGGAACTCCAAGGGCTCCAGGGTAGAATATTCATGCCCCAGAAGACTCTCTTCTTACCCAGACTATTTTAAGTTGGGCATGTGTGTACCGTTACTCATCGACAGAAACGTGAGCACCTGCATTTAGGCATACCTGTTGGGCCCTTCTCAAGTGGAGAAGGCCACTTAGAGTCACTGCGGTACTGTTACGGATGCCGGCTCTGGCTTGAGTCAGGTGAAACTCGGGCACGATTCGGGGGCTCAGGCATGCTGGCTCTTTGGCATGAACAGCTGCCAGATCTCAGGCTGGGATGTCACAGGAACCCTCTGTAAGGGATCCAGAGTTGGAGGGCCTTCTATTTGTCTTTGACCTTCTGCTTCCAAAGAACAGAACTGACTTGAATCACCTTCGAATAGCTCTATGTCATTATCTTTCACTTGGCAGATGGCCTGTCTGATCAGCGGTCAGTTTTCTTATGCTTGGGATCATCACAATTAAGAGTCGATGAATTTGTGGAGGAGGAAAATTATGTATTCATTATAGATAGCATTCCAATGCTCAGTGTTTATTTTTAAAAATGCGTTGGGTATTAAAGGAAGCACGGTACTGTTGGTTCTTCCAAAAGCCCCATTTTTAGTTTAGTTTTTTTTTTTTTTAATCTAAAGAAGCATAGGGTTAACAGCAGAAATAATGCTGTTGTTAGAAGAAGGGTTTTTGATCTATGGAACAGTTCTGAGTGTAATTTGCGTTCTCCCTGGAGGTCTCTGTCACTTTTGGCAGCCCCCTCTGGGTTTTGAGGACACAGGAGGAAGACAGAAAGCCTCTTTGGATTAATGACATACCACTGCTCTCTGTGCTGGGGAGACTTTTTAATTCATTTCATGTCATGACATGCAGGTCTTGTGGGGGAAATGAGGTGATCCTGGCTGGGGGAATGTAGGTCTGGAAAGCAATGGGAGGGCAAAGGCAGAAAGTTCTAAAAGACAAGACAGCCAGGAGTGTGCCTAAGAGTAGGAATGGAGGTGAGGCCCTTCAGTCTGGGCTTCTCCATTCTTGGGCCTTGGGGCAGCAGAAGTGCAACATCCGAGAAAGAAAATGCAATGTTCAGATACATTTGTCATCAGTGCCTAGCCCTCCCCTTCTGACGGGAAGACCTACTCGCCCATGGCCTCCTCTGCCTCCCCACCGATGATCCCGAAACTTACTGCAACCACTTATCATTACTGGATGCACCTGCCCAAAGATGGAGCCATTCGCTGAATCCTCGAGCTCTAAGATAATTATTCCTGGCCCCTGCCCGCTCGCAGGAAAACACTGCCTACAGAACAGAACATGCTGTAAGTAAAAGAAACAGGGTGACTTTTCAACCTGCCACTCTGTGCCCTTCTCCAAGAACCCAAAGCAAAATGCAGGAGGAAACCAGGAGAAGGGCAGGCTAGTTTGCTTAGGGTGTTTGCAGCATGTCGCCAGACTCAGCGACTCTACAGGACCAGATGGCTAGTTATCCTAGCTATTTCAGGGTCATTCGTAAAGTTAAAATACACTAAATTAGAACTATATAAAAATGTTTAATATTGTCTGTGGGTTTTATAATATTTAATTTTTAAACTACAAAATTCTGGTCTGTTATCGCATAACAACTACCTTTGTGTTCTCAGCATGCTCTCGGTGCCAGGCCCTGTGCTGAGAGCTTCCCATGCTGCAGACTCCCCTTCCTCCCCCAGTGGTTTTAAATGAGTCTCATTCCAGGTCACATAGACACAGGTCTGAGTAAAGTAAGAATGAGACAATGCGGGGGGGGGGGGTGACTTGGAAATGACAAATGCTTTGGAGAATTTTTCATAGATTTCCGTTGGTGCTAGTGAAGTGGTTTTGACTCCAAAAGAGCGAAAATTTCAGAAAAGAGCAATCATTTTTGCCACCAAAGGTGACCCACAATTTGGAGGATGCTCAGGGTGGATGCATGAGTGTCTCATGTTTTGAAGGCTTTTGATCTGAGGAGGTTGGAGTGGAAACGAGCATCCAACTGAATTTCATGACGTGAAGGAAGAGAAACGCAACAGGTAGCACTAGGCTTCAGCAGATGGCTGGCATTGAACTTCTTACAGATCACAGGACACATTTGGCTGCTGGTGGGTGCCACCATGTTAACAGCTCTGGGAATAGCAACACACGTAATTAGATGCCACCCTGGCCTTTTGGGGATGGAACGAGTTATGGTCAGTCTGGGAGGGAAGAAGGGGTAACAGATACTATACAACCCTGAGTCGTCACCAGAAAGGGGGGGGAGACGCAAACTTACGTACACAGGAGTCTTCAGGATAAACTACAACAGCCGCTGTGTCAGAGACAGGAGATCCACAAATTAGATATCAGAGACATGGGTGTGTTTGTGCAGCTCTGAACAAGACCATCGAAGCCAAGGGTGAGAGAGTGTTCTGTGAGACGCACAAGCTGACATCCAAAGAGATGCTCAGAACTCTCCGCCTGAGGGCCCTTCTGGCTCCTTACTCCAGATGTGTCTTGGAAATGGACTCTAATGAAGGTAGCATAGTGACTGTGAACACACGGATTTGCTATTCTTTGGGGGGGGAGCCTGGAGTTCTGGGGTTGGGCCTGGGCAGTGATGGGAGGCATAACATGAAGGCTGAAAACGGGTACGAGGCCAAATTTCCTAATCTCTTGCACGTCAATCTCGCTACAGTGCAGATGCATTCGTAACTGTTTTGAGTCAGGGGTACATGCATACCATATTGCTTATTTGGAATGAGAGAGACCACTAGGCATTTCTGATGAGGGGAGCACATGGTGGACCGGTCTTAATGGAATTTGGAATATAGGAAATCATAGCATCACCATCAGCATCCAACGCATTCTCATTGCCAACATACCTAGTGGGCGTGTCTGGGAGACCTGCCCTTGTGTGTGTTTGTGTTTTTGGTTCAGGACTCACCTATCTGGTATCTGCCATGCTCAGCACGCACCTCACAAGATTCCTTGAGTGGAAGACTATGGCATGGAGCCATGTGCAAAAGAACCAACAAAAAAAAAATACCTTCCTAAATCCTCTTCCTCTTGGCAGGGCACCATCGGACATCCGACATTTACCCTCCAGCACATCGGCCAGTTACGTATGTTTCCCTATAGATAAAACATTAATGGAAGGTTTTAAACATCAGATTCAATACTAGGCATTTTCTTGTACACACGTCTATTGCTGCAGGAATTCAAAACCCTGGGGGTAGAGTACATACTGTTCTTATTTGCAGCATAAGGCATAACATGCTCCGAAATGTACACGTCGTTGTGGCCTCGACTGTCCCTGGAGCAGTACGATGCTGTTGACCTCAAGGACGATCGAAGGTAGCTGTCGTTCACGGCCTGGGACGGCAGCGAGTGTTTGTAAGGGTCCGAGGGGCATCTCCCGATGACTAAGCGTCGGTCGTCCCCATAGCAACGGAGGAAAGGGTTATCGGAGGTGTGGTCCGGCAAGAGGGACTTGCTCCGCTTGCTGTCCTCCAGACCCTGGGGGAAGAGGGCGCTCTTGTTCCCCGAGAGTTTGCTGGAGGGGACACTAAAGAGACTCCCATACAAATTTCCCTCCAGAAGCCGTTCCCGGTCCTTGAGGCTGATGCTCCTGGAGGGCCTGCTGAGGTCTGTCTCCCTGGGCTTGTCGACAATGTTATCGTAGGAGTGCTGACGGCTGATCCTGAGCTTGTTCTTCTGGAACTGGAGGGTGCTGTTCTGCGCCCAGTCCTGCTGGTAGACCTCCTCCTGGGCGGCCGGGCTCCCCGTCTCCTGGAGCATCTGGTCTTCGTCAATGTCATAGAGGTTGCCCATCCGCAGGCAGGCGTCGCACTTGAAGGGGGACCGCACGGTGAAGTGGCCCGAATAGGTGGGCAGGTTGGACAGGCAGCTCCGGCAGTGTGTGGAGTTCTGCCGGTACCGGTCGCTGCCCTCACTGTGAGGGGAGCTCTTGTCTTTCAGGGTGAAGTGCTTGGCGTAGAATTTATGTTTGTCATTGTTGGGGAGCGCATCCTCATTGTGCAGGGGGTTCCTGTTTGTGGGCAGTGCGGGGTCGCCCTTGCGGAAATTTTCGCTGGGGTCCTGGTAGGTGTCTGGGAAGTCCACATTCTCGGGCAGGGCCATGTTTTCAACAAACTGGGGCGGGTCCAGGTGGAAACTAGGTTCCTTCTCGCCATCGATGGTGTAGATCTTGTCCCTGGGGGAGCTCGCTTTGGTTTTCAGATAGGAGCACTCGACCTCGCTGCAGTCCTTGGGGTATTTGGAGGCCACGGACCTTTTGAAGTTGTCCTTGGTCTTGTGGTTCTTACTGTTGTCGGGCTCCCTGTGGCACGTGGCCCGACTCGAAGTTTCTGAGATGTCCGAGTGGGCCACCTCTTCCGGAAGGTACCGGGGACTCTTCAGGGAGTGGGTCCTATTCTCCACCACTCCCTCATCCCTCTGGGACACTGGGTTCTGGCTCAGTGAATCTTGGCGCAGCGATTCCATGGATTTCTTCCAAAGCTGCCGGGGCCTGGAGTTCGCTTTGGACTCTGTGCTCACGGCCACCTCCACCGTGTTGGGGTTGGACTCATTGAGAGTAAGTGGGTGCTGTCCCTGGAACACGTAGTTATTGAGGTTGTCCTTGTGCCTGTTGGCCACGAATGTCTGCAGCTCATTCATGTTGTCCCCAAAAATGTTGTCTTTCCCCTGAAAGGATCTGTTGTCTGAATAGATCAAATTTCCCTTATCAGAAACCATGTCCATGATGAGGGAACCTCTTTGGATTAAGTCAGCAGCCCTTTTGGGGGAATCCATTCTTGAGGAGTTCACGTTGGACACGTCGGAGATGTTTTTGGCTGACCGGAGGAGTTTTAACATGTTGCTCTGGGATCCGGTCAGGTTGAAGTCCGGAGACTTCTTCTTCTCCTCGATGTGCACTCCATGGATGCAGCTGTAAATGCCCTGTGGGAACGAACACGAGACACGGTCAGCAGCAGCAGGAACACGAAACAACCGCACACCCGGCCTTCACCTGCAAAGGCGGGATGTGTCCTTCTCGGAGGAGCCTTGGAGGGGATCTTGAAGTCCAATCTGAATCCCGGGAATGTTTCTTAAATCTATGAGACCAGTAAGCGCCCAGCTTCTCTCGTCTCTCTGGCTCAAGCTTATCCCAACACTTTACCGAACAGTTACATGTGGAGTCTGAGAAAAGGCATCGACTAATGCTCATGTATCTTATAAAGTTCTCGGTGCCTCCAAATTAGCACGGAAGGATATTGAATTGATACCTGGGGCACTAGCTCATCTTTTGCTGTAGTTTACCAGGATCATCTTTGGAGTCTGGATACTAGAGTGAGAAAACCCTTTCCGGTTACTCTAAGGCTGGGCATAAAAATCCATGGGTGATCACTCAGACATTTTGGGGAAGGAAAGATAGAGAAGCTGGGCTAGAAGGAGCAGTTGCAGGGGACTAGTCTTGCCACCATGTGGGGATGTTAGCCTGAGAGTGAAACCATCATAGAAAAGAGCAGAGCACAGGGGATGGAGAGACAGGGCATGCTTTGAACTACTGGGGCCACCACTTGAGACTTTTCATAGATGCCATTGAATATATCCTTTTGTGTGTGTGTGAGTGAGTGTGTTTGACACAGAGTTGGGTGCTAGCCATTAGGAACAGTGGAGCATCCCGAGGACACTGTAATGCAGCACTGAAATCCACCCAAGGACGGAGTGACTTTGGGACTTCTGGGTGGCTCAGACATAAGTACCCCCAACTGTGGGTCCCTTGTTTTCCATGCTGCCTTGTTCCTTTCTTAAAGATAGCTGTTTACTTTTACTTCAAAGTAACTCAAGAGCTCTTACTTCATGGTGCAATGGTGGGCAAGGCGACTTTGGGGGGGGGGGGACATTGTGATTTGTGTCCCTCTTTCCCCACTGCTGGCCCCAGATTTTGGCAGCCATACCTAAAGGGGACGATCAGAACAAGGCCCTCCCAGGACGGACAGGGAGCCAGCCCAAGAAGGGGTCTGTAAGGCAAACGTGGAGGCTGCTGCTGACTGGGGCGTGAACTGGTGGAAAGGGTGCGTGGTTAGTTGTGGATTCTGCTGACCATGGCCCCGCCGGCCCACCTCCCCCCCACCGCCTCCCCGGCATTTTTCTAGAGAGTCTGCACTCCGCCTTCCAGGAACGGTACACGGGGAAGGCACAGTAGTGAGTCTGAGCATCTTTCTCTCACCCTTTTCCCCCCCACCCCAGGTTGCATGGCTTGGGCTCCCTAAAACCTGGCATTGTGCCCTTTCCCACCTTCCTGAAGCCTGGTCCTCTGTCCCCTCTGTGCGGTGTGTGGGTCCTGCTCACCCGCTGCCTGGAAGGAGGGTCCCCTCTGCCTGCTTCCACGGCTGCTGGGCATGGCAGTCACACCAATGCGCCGTGGGTTTCACATAGCACAGAGCTTCTGGACCTTGTATGTGAACCCGTGCCCTCCCCGCCCAGCTCAGGAACAGAGCAATCCTACACCCTGACCTAGGGAGGCTCGGCCACTGTGGGTGAGAACCAGTGTGTCTCCTGTGGGTTTGGGTCAGACAAGATCTATGCTTTTTCTTCCTTTGGTTAGTATTATAAAAATAGTTTAATTTTTTTTTTCTGAATCTGTAATTTTGTTCTAATGAGCTCCCATCACCCTGCTAGAGCTTTTGAAAACCTCCCTCCACCCCTTCACGGGACAGGTCAGTATGCTCCCACAGGCCAAGATGAGCTGGCTGTCCATGTGGGGGAGGCCCACAGAAGTGGTCAGGGAGCTGAGTTATGTCTCAGGAATGGGGTGGCTGGTCATTGACTGCTTTCTCTCATCCCTGGCTTCCCCTGGGACTCACAGGCTGCAGCTCAGGCAGCTCCCAGGTGCTGATGTGCCTGGTGAAGCCTCGGGAAGGAGTCCACGTGATGGACCCAGCCCGTCCCCCAGGCCTGGGTGGCAGCAGTCTCCTACAAAGTTAACCCATCTTCTTGGTGGGCTGCCGAGGAGAGGGGTGCATGGCAGAGAAACATGGAACCTGCGGGAAGTGAGTCCCAGCTCCATCTGTCATTAGCTCTGTGACATTGGATAAGCCACTAAGCTTTTTGAGCCTCAGTTTCCACACCTGCAAAGTGGGAACCACACACTCTCAAGGTGGGTAGAGGGCAGGATAAAAGGGTGCAAACAAAGCCTCAGATAGAGCAGAGGCTCCAGAAACATGAGCCAGATGAGCTGCGCCGTCGGTCATCCCCGATGTGCCCTACTTCGCTGCCCCCTCCTCCGCCCCCACACTAGTGCGAGCATCTGGCGCCCATGGTCCCGAAGCTGCAGGAAAGCGCAGGCTGCCCCTTAGTACTGAAGGTTTGCTCTGGTTAGGGAGCAGCCCAGACCTTCCCTCGGCAGTGGGCCCTGGGCCACAGAGCTCTTGTTACTTGGAGATTCAGGCTCCATCCTTCAGGTGATGGAATGAAATGCCTTCTCGGCCCCACCGGGGCCCAGACGAGAGCCGCACTGATGAGAGTGTGAAGCTCTGGACAGTCCACTCTGCTCTGCTCGAGGGCCCTGACTCTCAGAACATTCTCGATGGGGCATGGGCTCTCCTGCCCTCCATGGTTCCCTGCAGTCTGTCTGGACCTGACCCCTGAAGCATCTGCTAAGGCCTAAACGTTTGTACCCTCCCCCAAAGTCACATTGAGATCCTAACTGTGAAAGTTGGTGGTGTGAGGAGGTGGGGCCTTGGGGAGGGGATGAGGTCCTAAGGGTGGGGCGCTTGTGAGTGGGATTAGTGCCCTTAGAAGGGAAACCCCACAGAGCCCCCTCGCCCCCTTCCACCTCGTGAGGACACAAGGAGAAGTCTGTAGCTCCTGTTCTATGAGCCCACCGGGCAGGCCACGCAGTTGCCATCCCCCTGACATCTGTCTTTCCTGGCATGTATGCATGAATGTGCCCATAAGACACATTCTCTGCCCAGACCCCCTGACCTCTCCCATTCCTCATGACTGAAAACCGAGGCAGTTATTTTTGCTGGTGACAGTGAATGTTCTCTTCTATGTGAGAGGGGGAGCATTTTGGAGAGAAAAATTAAGAGCCCCCCTCAGACCAGAGGGCACATTTTTTTTTAAGTCGAAAAAGGCAAAGGCCAAGGCTGTGGGAGAAAGTGGGTTCTAATGGCTTCTTCGAGCCCTGGCCGTCCCCTTTGGCAGGGCCAGAGCACCCATAGGTCCGGTCTGTATTTTGTTGCATGATCCAGGAGCTTCCCAAGGGACATCTGGCCCATGGGGAGGGCTGCATATGTCTGCTGTGTGGCAACAGCTAGGTCCACAGCCTGGGTGTTGAAGCTGCCGCAAGAGCTGGTTAATGGAGAGACCTGGCTGATGGGCAGGAAAGAACGTGCCTCGGGGGCAAGCACATTTCAGAGGCAGCCTGCATCTACATCCCCTGGAAAGGAACCAACACTAGGAAATGGGCTGAAGCATGTGACCCAGCCCTGCACACGTGACAGGCTTCCTCTTTCCTGTCTTTTTCTGGCATGATCCATGAAGTAGGAAGAACCCTGTAGTTTGAAGGACATTTAACGTGAAGCCAAAAGGGTCCCATTCCAACCATTGGGGCCCCAGTTTCTCCATATCCACAGGACGGGTGTGATCATAGCAAACTCACAGGGGTTGTAAGAGAGGATGGAGGAAACCTATCTGGCCCAGCCCTTACTCACACACGACCATAATTCATTGTGGGGTTGTGGTCTTGCCTTTGTAGGAAGGTGGGTTCTTGGGCTTGGAAATTCCCCACTGCAGGTTTGTTAAAAAAAATGATTATGTGTGCACAACGAAGACATTTTTGTCTGTGTTCTCTGCTCTGTGTAAGGAATATACACGTAAGGTGGCATATGCATGAATGTACCCATAAGACAAGCTTTAGAGCTATGTGTTAGCCCTTGATGAGAAAGGGAGAACATTTTTTTTTTTTTAGCAATCCAGAAGCCCTGCTATGGATAGCATCAGGGGCTCAGCCCCTTCTGAGTTCCCCTAACAAATAAGAGAGGCAGGAAAGTATATTAAATATGAAACCCTTCTATTCACGCATATCAGGCTGCACTTATTTTAAAAAACAGGTATTATCTGGGGAAAAGGAGGGTCAGTGCTGAAAGTAGGGCTCCCTGCAGGCTTTAAGGACACAGGAGTGATGGTGGCTGGGAGTCCCCAAAGGGGCATGGAAGTCCTTGCAGTGCTATGAGACACAGGGTCCTCTCTCCCCTAGGGAGGGAAGACTGAGTTCAGATTCCAGGATGCCTGGCTCCTGTGTGCCCCATCCCCCTCCAATCCTGTCCCTCAAGATGCTTGGAAGGGAAATGGGGGATTTAGTTCATTTCTCATAATGACAATCCTCTCCACTCGGCTTCCCTAACGGGATCTCAGAGGAAATGCTCTTCCCGATACAGGCAGGATTTACAAGGAAAAGCAACAGTGTGCATTTGCTCATGATAATCCCAGAGTCATTTGGATATGGAAAGCCTTCAGTAACTGGTGGAGAGAATTAGCTTAAAGTTGGCACAATACCTAGCTATATGCATAGCTATGTATGTTATTTTTAAGCAGTCTGTGTGTTTAGATGCCATCAAGTTAATTAGGAAATATGTATTTGCACAGAATGCAAGTTAAGAGTGCCACTGAACAGAAAAAATAAATCCTCCCCACTAAGCTAATGTGTGCTTTCTGAATCTCCCAAGTGCTTAAAATCACCAAATGCTAAGAATATACAAATTCCTTTAAAAATGATTATTTTGTTTTCCCAATAACCATTAGCATATAAAACCACACCAAATGTTTTTCATTAAATTCTTCTAGAGTGAAAACATTCCATGGTGAGTAAATGGGAGAAATAGGTAGATAAATAGATGGACAGATGGATGAATGGATGGAAGGATGGATGGATGAAATAGGTGGATGGATGGATAGATGGGTGGGTGGGTGGGTGGAATGGATGGATGGATGGATGGGTGGGTGGGTGGAATGGATGAATGGGCAGACAGATGAAATGGATGGATGGGTGGGTGGAATGGATGGATGGATGGGATGAATGGATGGATGGATGGATGGATGGATGGATGGATGAAATAGGTGGATGGATGGATGGAAAGATGACTGACTGTGAGATAAATAATATTACATTCTGTTAGAAGATGAGTGAATATATATGTATGATGCAACTAAGTGACGAGATTGTATTGAATATGTAAACATCCATTATGTCAGTTGTGTGCACATATGTGTTGGGTAGTATGATTTGTATCAAATCTCTTGTGTTCCTTGTATTGGATGTTTGTTGCTTATGTAAGAGCATGTGCTCTGGCTGGTACCACACCACCCGGATGCGAGTCCCGGCTCCACCAAAGACTGTGAGGCCTTGGGTAATTCTCTACCCTCATGACTTTGAGTTTCCCCACCTGTAATCTGGGGCTAATAATGGTTACCCACCTCACAGAGATGGTTTGTAGCTTAAATGGGACGAAGAGTCTACAGTCCTTACAGGGTGCCTGGCACATGTAGGTGCTCCACAAATACAAGCATTTTCCATGATTGTTGTCATTACCGATGAATTACATGTCCTGTTTTATGGTGACATACACGTGCTGTATTGTGCACCAGGAGAGGGGTTTCCTTGCGTAGTGTGTGAGCTCACTAGAGCATGTGTGTTCCGTGCTGTAGTTTATGCTGGGTTGAATGTGTACTTTGGTTTTCTATTTGATGTGTGTGCATCTTCTCATGGTTCTTCATGTCTTTGTGTCATCTGAGGCTCTGCTGCATTGCACGCGCTCATGAACTGTAACGTCCTGCACAGGGATTTTAGTGGTGTTGTAGAGCACGTCTGGCTGCTAATGGTGGACAACACAGACTGCTGCGTTTGGCTTACATGGTATTTTGTTTTTTTAAAAAAATTGAATTTGTCACTAGTATTTAAAAACTGAAAGGTTTCACATAAAATCAGATGACTACTTTCTCTTTTAAAAACTAAAAGACCCGACAATATTGCCCTTGCGTTCTCATAAGCTAATACTCTGCCCCACTTGAGGAGGACTGACCCCTTCAGGTGGGGTAGGCAGTCTGGAGTGCTCCCTCACCTTGACACCCAGGGGGCTTTCGCTGCGTTTCATCTCATTTGTAGCTATTGTTTCCATGCCCAGCCTGCTTTACCCCCAACCCTCTTCCCTCTCTGGCTTGCACAGTCATCTGGGATTGCTCCTGGCTGGGTTATGAAGGCGCAGAACCTGGATTCCTTTCCGACAAGCCCAAGAAGAGTTGGTGAGCGAGGGGAGGATGTGCACACCGCCCCCCCCACCCAGGAGTCAAGCATCCCGGATTCTTGAGGCCCCGAGGTCTTCTGGACCTGCCCTCTGCATTAAGGTCGTAGCCGGCAGCGGTACTGACCCTGCTGATGGAGAAGAGCAGCCCTGGCCGGTCGGAGCACACGCCGGTGAAGCAGAAGCGCAGCTTCCAGTAGAAGAGGTGCTCCCAGATGAAGGTGATGAGGCTGAGGGCCATGGCGGCCGCCAGCATGTAGAACACGCCGGCCATGTTGTCGATGTCCAGCTGACTGCTCATCACCTCGTTCTTCTCGTTGTGGCAGATCCCCGTGAGCCACAGTGTCTCCAGCTCCTCCATCTCGCCTGCACAGGAGACAAGAGCCGGAGGCTGTGAGGAGCGGGGCATGCACTCTGGGTCGGGGGCAGACACGGCGGACTTAGAGCTGGGGGACCTGCGGGCACCTTACTGAGCGCTCCAGGCCTGCGCATGCTCACTTGTGCGGTGAAGCTCAAATGGTAACGGGACCTACCTAATACTGTCGTCGGGAGGATGAAACAAGATAAGGTGTAGTCAGGTGCAGTCCCTGGGAGGGGGGTATGTGGGTGTGTGGGTGTGGGTGTGAGTGTGTAATCACTGTCATTATGTTCTACCCATCCTCCTTTTCTCTGCCCGTGCGCCCACTCAAGCCTGGAACAGGACGGGGCATAAACTGGCAGCTTGCTACCGCGGAAAGTCTCGCATTCCAGTTATGACTTCATCACTTACTAGCTGGGTGAGTGCAGAGCCTCAGCCCTCCTGTCTGTGAAATACACAAACAACAGTGCACCCTTCCTGGAGTTCTCATGAGGACCAAATGAGCTCACGTCTGCAAACGTCCTAAGTGCAGTGCCCGGCTCATAGCAAGTTTTCATAAATAGTAGCGTTCATGGGATTATTGCGAAGGAAATGCCCGGCACATTGCACGGCACACGGCAGTCCTCAAATATGTTAGTTTCTTCCTGCATCTTCCTTTAGAACATCTGGGATTGTTCCAAGATGCCACGCACTAGCAGGGCACTGAGGGCAGAAGGCATTGAAGAGAGACATCCCAATCAGCTCTGAATGGCCCCTTGCAAACTAAACACCTCCCCACTTCAGTAGGCAGTTAAAGAAGCAGATGGAGTTTAGACTGGGAAAAAAAAAGTAGACGTGCTTAGCATTATTTTGTCTTTCTATTATGTGCATTTCATCCAGTTGCCATTTAGGAGGAAATTCTCTGATCTAAATGTCTAGCTATTAAGCTGTCTAGCAATTCACTAAACTATGGCACTTACACTATGATTCAAACTTTAAAAATTATCCTTCAAGCACAGTGAAAATCAAACAGGATGCATATAATGTTAAATGAAAAGTATGACTATGGTGTGTGTGCGCCCGTATATCTGTATCTAAGATACAATATGAAACATTAGTAGAGACAAGTAAAAGGAAACACTCCAAGTGTTTCTTTGATTCTCTTTTGAAGAGTTTAGCATAATTACCGCTTTCATACTGCTGTCTTTTTTCAGTTTCGTGAAATTAGCGTGTGATGCTCTTGTCTGGTTTGCTCTCTTGAATGATTTGGCTGAACAGAGAAATCTAAGTTGATCCTTATTTTCCCTGGGCCTTTTGAAGATGTTACTGGGTTTTCTTCTGATCTAGATTACAGTTGTTGAGAAGTTGGCTAATAATCTAATTGTCACTACTCCCTACGCATTCTGTGGTTTTTCTCTGATGGCTCTTTAGATTTTCATTTTGTCTTTGGTGTGGAATGTAGGTGTGGACTTGCTTTATTATTTGTTCGGCTCTAGACTCAGTGTCATTCTTTGATGTGTGACTCAGGATTTTAATTCTGGAAAAAAATCTCACCCATTCTTGCTTTGAGTATCAACTCTCCCTATCCCCTTTTAAGAAAAAAAATTAGTGGGCGCCTGGGTGGCTCAGTTGGTTAAGCGACTGCCTTCGGCTCAGGTCATGATCCTGGAGTCCCGGGATCGAGTCCCACATCGGGCTCCCTGCTCGGCGGGGGGTCTGCTTCTCCCTCTGACCCTCTTCCCTCTTGTGCTCTCTGTCTCTCATTCTCTCTCTCAAATAAATAAATAAAATCTTTAAAAAAAAAAAGAAAAAAATTAGTAAACTTTATTTTTTTAGAGTAGTTTTAAGATTTCAGAAACATTGAGTAGAAGGTATAGAGTTCCCATAACTCCTCCCCATTCGCTCAGTTTCTCCTACTAACATCTGGCAGTGGGGTGGTTTTTTGTTTTTTGGTTTTTTTTTTTTTTACAATTCATGAACTGATCTTGATACATTAACTAAAGCCCAGAGTTTACATTAGGGTTCACGCTTTATGTTGTACCATTCTGTGGATTTTGCCCAAGGCGTAATGCCACGTGTCCATCGTTACAGTATCATACAGAATAGTCTTGCTGCCTTGAAAGTTCCCCATGTGTGCTCCCTGATTCAACTCTCTTCACGCCCCATCCCAACCCCTGGCAACCACTGATCTTTTAATGGTCTCTCTAGTTTTGCCCTTTCCAGAACATCACATAGCTGGAACGAAGTGCACATAGTAGCCTTTTCAGACTGGCTTCTTTCATAGTAACAAGATTTTTTTTTTTTAAGGTGAGCAATCGTCTGATTTGTAAAAAGATGAAACACAATTTAAAATGATACACAATATCAGTTTCAAAACAGCATCAGAAAGTCCACGGTTAAGTATCCGTACTCAGCTCATAACAGAGCAAGTGGATAAGCAGAATAATTCGTACTGTAGCATTTTGCTATACGAACTGGTCGTAGAAAAAGCTGATAAAGGAAGGCAGAAGTGCTCTATCTTTGAAGAATTAGAACCGAGGGGTTCCAGAATCATCTGGCATCCATTCAGTGTTGTATTCATGGTTAGAAATGTACATGGTGGGAATCCAGGGATCTTCCGGATCCTTCCTTTAAGGTCCCAGTTAACTGTAGCCACAATGTTAACACTTATGCTGAGACTATATGCATTTAAGTACCTCCACTTCTTTCCATGGCTTGACAGCTTTCTTTTTATTTGCGAATAATTTCCATTGCATAGATGTACAGTCTGTTGATCATTCACCTACTGAAGGACACCATGGCTGCTTCTGAGTTTTGGCAATTATGAATCATGCTGCTATCAACATCCGTGTGCAGGTTTTTGTGTGGACATCCGTTTTCAACTCCTTTGGGTAAATACCTGGGAGCATGACTGTGGGATTGTGTGGTAAGAATATGTTTAGCTTTGTGGGAAATTGCCAAACCCTCTTTCGAAGTGGTCGTGCCATTTTGTGTCCCCACCAGCAACGAATGAGAGTTCCCGTTGCTCCACATCCTCGTCAGAATTTATTAGCATTGTCAGTGTTTTGGATTTTAGCCATTCTAATAAGGTACATAGTGGTATCACACTGTTTTAATCTGCATGCCCCTAAGAACACATGATCATTCTATCATTTCTTCTGAAAATTGTGTTTAAAATATTCTAAACCTTCTCATTCTATCCTCCAGGTTATTAACTTTGTTTTAATATTTTCCACTCCTTTATGCCTCTGTCCTACAGTTAGATGCTTCCCACAGATTTTATTCTTTCATTAATAATATTTAGCCTTCTGCTTTCATTTAATCTATTTTAGTTGGGATATTCATCTGGCCATCTTAAGTTCCTGCCCATTCTTTTTATCATAATGTCTCATTCTTCTGTTATGAGTCTTAAAAAACTTTTCTACATTTAATAATTTCAAACCCACCATCTTTCAGATTATTCTCTGCCCTGCCTCCTCCCCACCACCTTGGTTCTTGGGATTCACATTTCTCTGCTTGCTGTGTGCGCTGGCTCTCATGGTGGATTTCTTCCTTTTGAGGTAACTTTTGAGGATGAGCTCATCTTCAGCAGGGTTGTTCTCGCTCTAAACCCCATGGGGCCCCCAAGCACACGGGGCTATAGAAATGTTCCTATAGTGGGGTTCTGAGTTTGCTTCTGCCATGGTTCCAGAGGCTTCCAATGTACCAGTTTTTGTATGAGAAAAATGTGGCTGTCACTGCCACACCATGTAGGTAGTATATGCTTGGACCTCCATACTCCTATAGGTTTTAATTTCTCACTCGGAGCTTCAAGCAGATGGCAAGACTTTCTTCGCACTGATGGACAGTTTTTTCTAATCTTTGCACAGATGCGTTGATTCACTGGGGATCTCAGATTCATGCAGTGGTATCATTTTCTACTCTCTGCACAGTTCAGGGCCCCCATGTGGATGTGAAAGCCTCGGTCTCCACCCCTAGGCCCTACATCCCCTTAGGCTGCTGTACTTCCACAGAGAGGTGCCGTGAGAATATCCCATTCCCATCTGTTTCCAGCACCTAGGGCTTCCCTGTTCTTTTGATCTTCACCGTGCTTTGTGTGAGCATGTGGGTGCATATGCATGTGTGCGTGCGTATGTGTGAATGTTCATGCATGTGTGTCTGAGCAAGCATGTGCATGAGTTTGCGCGTGTGAGTGCACGTGAGCGTGCGTGTGCATGTACTCGCTTCTAATCCTGCACTGCGGTGTGTTTGCAGCATGAAAGGGGCTCCTGTCAATTGAGTCTCCCTTCATACCACAACCACATAGACGTTTATAACTTTTGTTATCATGGCCAAAAAAAAAAAAATCACATTTATGGGAGGAAAAAATAGGAAACCCAGCCTTTTGTAAATTCATTGCCCACAAGGAACGGTGTGGTTAATCAGCGGTACAGGCACAGGTATGGGAAGGGACATCTCGGTCTCAGTTCCTTTCCTTCCAAGACCCCGCAGGGCTACCACGCGGTCACACTTGTCCTGGGGGCCTCTGTAATATCACCTCATCGTGCAGCCACAGCCCCAGCTGCTCATCCAAACGCTCCTGCCTGCCACGTGCCTCATGTACATCACTGCTTCCTCTTCTCCAGAAACACTGATGCCTTCCCTTCAAAACTCCAGCATGCTCTTGACTTCCCTCTTCCTTTGGAGCGTGCGAGGACACAGAAGTGACTCTCCGTGCCACGTTCTGTTCCCCTTGGTGTCATCCCAAACACAGCCGGGTCTGTAAGCCTAGAACAGCGCCAGTCTGGGTAGAAGAAACATCATTAGATTCCTTTCGTGATGCAAATAAAAAGATCTTCCCTCCGCCTTCTGACCTAACACCTGTCTTTGAGGAAGTCGACTCGGTAAACCGGACCCATGAACGATCTTCCCTCCGCCTTCTGACCTAACGCCTGTCTTTGAGGAAGTCGACTCGGTAAACCGGACCCATGAACGATCTTCCCTCCGCCTTCTGACCTAACGCCTGTCTTTGAGGAAGTTGATTCGGTAA